TGCGCTTTCACACTGTTCTGAATGGCTGTGATTTTTGATTGACATGTGGCGTCTCACTGTCGAGTCGCGTCTAGTGTGGACAGACACACTGAAGTCGCTGGAATTGTATCGCAACGCATGTAGTTAGGACACGGTGTTAAGCTGCAATAAGAAAAAAAAGCACCATAAAAGTAGTTCATTTCTGTGCTCAGACTAAATTCAGATATTATTTTTTTTGTGAAATCCTGCTTGACAACTCTTTTTGTGTTTTTGTGTCTCAAGACTTGAGAGCCAGTAAATGTTCCGTTTTAGGTGAATGATAACGTTAAATAAAAGGCAAACTAAGGATGAATGAGAGTTCACAAGATATCATGCTTGAATGAGATGAAGCTAAACTGCTTTGGCCTTGGCTTGGTTTCGGTAATGGAGTTCTTGAGCATGAAACATTGTTCAATCACTAAATTGCCCTCCTATATATACTGTATATATATAGTCATTTTACATTGTGATTGAAATGATCATGCTCCTCACAAATGTTCATTTTTTAACTCCAAGATGAGAGAACTAAATTTCAGCACACAATCAGGACTACCAAATCACAGATATTTGCATGACATTCTTTCACTATTATGACTTGTAAATGATAATATAGCACTTATGCTAACAACACACGAAGTTTTAGCCACTGTCTATGTATACAATAACACATTTTCCTCAGTTGGAATTTGGGGATATTCCTCTAAAAATAAGTTCTGTTTATATAAACATTAAAATCTGATTTAGTCGACACGTTCAAAAATCTAAGAAAACTACTGCAATAATGTCACCAGAGCTACTGTGAGTTTAACTGTTGTTTTTGCTTTGATGGCACATCTTATATGAAAGCTGCCTCAGAAGAGCTTCTTATAGCAAATGTAAATATTAAAGCTAGGGAGTGCAGTTTCGTAAAGCAATATAAGCTTTGAAAAGGGTCTGCAAAGCGTCATGAGAGACGCTGTAAATTACCTCATGTCTCAAAGCACATCAAATTACAATAATATTGAACCTGGACCATAGAAACACATACATCCTAGTCTGAGGACAGGAACAACTCAGAATAGAACTTTACGGGTTGCTCTATCATAATTCCAACAGCATAAGCTCATTATTTTGGTTCAGTAGGAACTGTAAAGGGTGGCTTTTGTTTGTTTGCAGTGCTCATGACTGCGTTCAAAACTTGAAACTTGTTTGTTTACGACTGTTACAAAAGTACATTCAAAGAATGTGTGTGATATAAATTAAATTTGGACATACTACATCTGCCATCTTGTCATTGTCATGTGACCTATGGTGTCTGTTGTCGTCACTTTAAATCCTCTCTGGTGGCCTCATGGGATAGGCCCTTCCTCAAATGACACACTTCACTTACGGTCTCGTGGACTTACAATGGCCGCCCGGTTTCATGAGGGTGCTTGAGGGCGCCCACTTTTTGTTTGATATGCACCCTCGATGCACATTTTGCCAAGCTGAACTGAAGCAAGCCTTGTTCAAAAAAAGTACGGACTCGAAGGAAGACCGCAGTTGTTTAGAGTGTAATTTGGGACAGTGCCAAAGTAAAGTATCCATCGAATGTGCACTTCAGAATCTCGCCGGAAGTAGTAGGTCATCTTTGCCTACTGTTTTATGAATACTTCAGACATACTACTTGTGTGACTCAGTCTACAACTCTGCATAGACTCATGGAACACGCTGATGACATGTCAGTCTGAATGAGCAGGGTGCATGGAGGGAAATAAGCAAATATACTGTGGGTACGGAAAGTATTCAGAACCCTCTGAATTCACTCTTTGTTATATTGCAGCCATTTGCTAAAATCATTTAAGTTCATTTTTTTCCCTCATTGTACACACAGATACATTGTACCCCATATTGAAAGAAAAACACATAATTGTTGACTTATTAAAAAAGAAAAACTGAAAAAACTCCCATCTCCCGACAGCATCTCTGGAGTTCAGCCACAGTGATCTTTGGGTTCAAGGCTCTTCTCCCCCGATAGCTCAGTTTGGCTGGACGGCCAGCTCTAAGGGTTCTGTCCAGCTTAGGCAGTAGGCAGTAGGGGACATACTACTTCATCTTTAACGGACAGATCTGTCGCGTGCATCCTATCACCGTAAACTGCCCTGTCAATCATCTCGTCACAGTTTAAATCCTCCATTTAATCTAATATAATTTCTTACCGTTTCAGAGAGAAATGTTGTAGCTCGTTCATCTGCCAGTCGTGGGTTTTCATGCAGACTCTCCTCATGTGTTTGCAATTTGAATGTAATGATGCATTTAAAAGTTAATGGCTATAAACGTATCTTTACAAAAGTTCACGATGCTGCAGCAGATGCAATATAACGTAGCCAACATTGAATAAATACATTTTCATCATGTTCTGATAATGAATCACTTAAACCCCTTTATCTAAACCTCTCTACACAACCGCCCGACTCGCGCATCCTCGTCTTTTTTTTTTTTTTTTTTTTTTTTTTTTTTTTTTTTTTTTTACACTTTTCACTCGTGTTTAGTTCTAACCGAATCCTTGTCCAACGCACGATGGGTTGTGGCTAATAGCCGTTAGAGTGTGCATCAATCTGCACTTCGGATTCTGACTGGATATAGTAGACCTGGGTCTCTTTGAAACACTTATTTCAACAGCTACTATGATTTGGGACGTACTAATTCTATTTTCGAATACTTTTTAAGATGGATAGTATGCAAACTGGGATTCAGCAGCACTGTGAGCAGTAGGGTCTTGTATAGACATGTATGTGCCTTTTTAATCAAGTCCAATCGGTATAATCAAACACGGCTGGACTCAAATGAAGGCGTAGAACCAGGATAATCAGAAGAAATGGACAGCACCTGAGTTAAATATCAAAGCAAAGGGACTGAATACTTAGGACCATGTGATATTTCAGTTTTTCTCTTTTAATAAATGTGCAAAAATGTCAACAAATTGTGTTTTTCTGACAATATGGGGTGCTGTGTGTACACAAGTAAAAAATGAACTTAAATGATTTTAGCAAATGGCTGCAATATTACAAAGAGTGAAAAATTTAAGGGGGTCTGAATACTTCCCGTAACCCACTGTATATGTTGACAGGCAGGTAGAACATCATTTATATATTAGACCACTTCTGTTATTAATTGCTATCAGAATGTGAATAGTTTCAACCTGTATGACAAAAAAGAGTTTATGAAAAACATTGCCTACCCAAGCTTTAAGTCCTCTCCACTTACAAGTTCCTGAGAAGAAAGACAAAAATAAATATTGGTACAATCGCACGATGTAAAACATGTACAGTATATGCATCATTGCACTGCATATGCGTGTGTGCAAGATGTTTATGAATCCGATATTCAGGTTCAAGCAGTGTATTTTTTTCCCTAATGGTCATATTATTTCAGGATTACTCTACACCACCCATTTCAATCCAAATTTCCATTCAGATCGAGCCCAATTGGGTCGATGGATGTTTACATATTTAATTCGATTGAGCGAGTATTTGATTCATTTGGTTGCATGTAAATGCATGCAGTTCAGCACAGCCACTCACCCTAATTTAAAGAAAGAGGCCTACATAATGCAGATGCAGTAGATGTTTCCAATCTGCTGTTGCAGAGGGTATTCATTCATGCAGCTGAACCACTACATCTCCATTCATTTCTATGTGTTCTCATTTTTATACAGTAGGCTATATTCATGGATGAGCTCTAGTCTTTCTCTTCACAAAAACTGTTACACAATCTAGCATCCTGTTTCCAACATGAGAACAACAACAGCGGCTCTGTGTGTGTATGTGCGCGCGGGGGCGATGGGGGAGTGGATTTATCGGGTAGATTTACAGGCAACGTGAACACGCTTTGCCAGTCGTGTGTACTTTTAAACGCCCGTGGGTGGCGCCAAAAGAGCAAAGAGCGCTTGGCTCTCAACTGTTGAATGCATCAAACTGTATTTGTTCATTGGATGCGATTCCAACTCGATCAATACTCATCACATTTTACGACCCAATTGCTCAGGATTATGATCCACGCACGAGAAAGTAACGACACAACGAGCAGGGCTCTGTGGGTGACCCTTAGAAGGGTTTCAGTGCGTAAAGACTTTGAAGCCACCCCTTTAAAACTAATAACTCATTAAATGAAAAACAAACAGGCTACTACAGACGTTTGCTAAAATGACCCAACTCATCTCTATGCGGGCGAATCTACCAGCTAAAAAAAAACAACAAACAACAACAACAACAGGTTTACTGTTAAACGTGTATATAGTAGGCTCCATGTTTTTTGGTTAGCCTACTACATTGATTGATTAGCATTAGGATAACCGCAGTTGCTTTACAAATACTATGGTTGAACTTATGGTTATGGTGAATTTATGGTTGCATGGTTTAACTGCAATAATCATGTGTTTATTTTTAATTAGGCCTATTATTATTATTTATTTTATTTTTTACATGAAGTAAATGGTTCATTTTCGCTAACATTGTCCCTGCTATGTTCTCTAAAACGGTTTCCTTACAACCAACTCAGTTCATTAAAATAGGCAATAGAAAAATGCATTTGCCAATTAAAATTTTACATTTCATATTTTTGATTTTCAGCAAGTAACTCGCTTTAATTAGGCCCATCAGTCAAATCTTTAGTTTAGTCCAAAACTCAGACCACATGATTTCTCGGTTGAAAGAGAAATCCCTGTTGAAAGTGTAATAGTGACTCGTAAACTGTTCAGACCGATTCAGTTAGATTCTGGTTTTGTGAACCGCTTCTGACAATTTCATTGAAATATTCCGACTCTAAAAAAAACGCTAATAGGAAGCAATGTAACACAATAAAAACAGATATGTTAAATGTATATTAGGCTATAACAATTATACTGTTTTCCTAACCAAATTGTGCCTTTTTCATCAAACAGCCTGTGGCGCGCGAGAGCCCCACCTCCTCTCGCTCTGCGCGTCCGTCCGCGCGCGCCTCTAGAAGGGAACAGCGCGCGGTGCTGAGAAATCTCTCCACTCACTCTCTCACATGCATAGAAATGCAGGATTAACCCTGTGCGGAGAAGAACCTTGTGCCAAAACTACGTTGATAGTCTACTTCTGAGGAAAGCGAAGGGGGGAAACCTGAATCCATACGTTCTTCCATGTACATTTCTACATTATTTTCGTCAGATTATGGTATCATTCCGTAAAGAATAACGAGGAGCACTATCAAATTTTGTGAGAAGCTGCACTCACCTAAAACGAGTGTTTGAGGATTTATGGACTGAAACGGGGGAAGCTGCTCGAACCGTTTCTGTGTTGAGAAACAACAGCAAAGACATTTGAACAGCCATCATTTTTAGTTCATCAACACTTAAATGAGTGCCGACGTTATCAAACTGACGCGGAGTCGTGGGAATGGCGTGGAAAATAGCGCGGCTACTTATGGATTGTTTTCCAACGAAAGGATTTGATGTTTTCTTGATGTGTGGATTCTTTAAATCAGGTGTTTGGTCCGTGTAATCTCGAAGGAAACATCTGTAGTTGATCCTCAGACGAGAAGCCTCTGTCTTGGCAGGAAAAAAAAAAGTGATCGACGAAGGTAGGCAACGAACTTTATTGTCACCACTGGACAATTAATAGCTAAAGCTGAGGGGAAGGTTCGATATGACGATGGGTCACATTAAAATTATCGACACACCAAGGCGATATGCCATTGCAGAAACTACAGGCGTTTTGAAAGATAATTGATGTCAGTTATTTGTGCGCGCGACTCGAGCCCTTATTTCGATATTTTGACCACATTCGGATGGCGTTTATATTTTTCAGAATCAATCGGGCTGCTTATGTTTATACAAATAATCAAATGGCACTTGTTACCGATTTAGTCGACGCTACGCGAACTCAGGAATCTTATTAAATAGCGCATTACACGATTCTGCATATCTTACTACGCATTAAGCTGCAGAACATTTATTCGTCATGCAGCTGCGATAAAGATAGTTGACGAACGACCAGTTGAATGCAGGCTACTGTTTGCTGCGCGCAACTACATGTCATGTAGGCTATAACATTATTGTCGTTTAAAATCTCGCCATCTAGCCGCACAGGGTTAGATTGTATTCAACAAGGCTGCAGATATAAAGGAAATCGCAGTGGAGCGCCCACCTGGGTTGGCTGGGTCAACAGCAGGATCAATGTTTGGTCAAATCCCTGTAAGGCTGATTACAGGATTCCCCCTTCCACCATCTCCACCCACAACCCTCTCTGAGCTCGAAGGAAAGGATGATGATGTGTATCTAAAAATGGGGTTTAAAATACAAATAATAATAATTAATCAATAAATAAAGAATCCTTTCATATCCCCAAGAAGATGATGATGATAATATTAATTATTGTTGTTATTTAGTAATTGTTGCATATACTGTGTTGCATAGCCTACATCAATAACATTACAAAAATAATATTTTGCAGTTATCAAATAAGAAATACTATTCTTAATGACCTTATGCAGAGGATATAAAAAATAAAAAAAAATCACATGTTGGTCCAAAACTTGTTGGTCCATAAATATTTTTTTTCCTTCCAAAAAGAAAATAGTGTATAATCTTAAACATTCATTGCTGAATTCAGTCTGTAAAATCCCACAGCATTTGTCCGACAAATATGGGTAACTGATTTAATTGGACTGAGCTGAAATGCTAAACCTGTTGAACCTGAATGAATGTGATAACAGATGATTTACAGCACTGCTAAAAAATAAAAGGTCACAATACTTCAGGGAAAGTAAAATGTCTGCATGAACTATTCGTCTCAAGAGCAGAGCGAGAACGACTTCCGAACTTGTTTATAGGGTGGAGTTCACCCATGTAAATTTCTAAAATTGTTGCAGGTATATTGTGCAGTGTAAGCAAGGCTTGGAATTACAAGTCAGAAAGCGCTTGTTCTGTAATTTCAACAGACCTCTGAATATTCTCAGCTCTGTGTGAGATTGAGATACACTGGACTGCATTTGGCTGTTTTTCGCTTAGATTGTTTAGGTGTACCAGCGTTCACTAGGGAGACCGTCCATAGTGAGCATATGTTCTGTTCTTTGCCTCTACACTGCGTGGAACCAGCTGATGTCTTTGAAACAGACTGTACATTTAATGTTTTCATCCACATGTTTTCTGGTACTAACTTGAGTTCAGAGATATTATAACAACCTTTTGGTTATGAGGCACTCTAAATGGTTGAAAATCAACAGCCCTTAAATAGTTTGTTGAGTGTTTGTAGACTGTTATCAGGATGAGATTAAGTGCTTATGCTCTTGGGGTGTTTGAAGAGTCTCTTATGTAAAGAGGGTTGCCGTGTGTTGCATTTTAAATATTATTTTTATGATTTTCTGGATTCATGTATGAATCTGTGTCAGTTTATTATGGTTGTTGAGGAAGTGAAAACATGACAATGGCTTCTACAACATTTCAATGGAAGCAAGCTAGCAAGTGAACCTCCCCCTTACACATTTCTCTTACAAAATGTTCTCGCTTCCCCGTGAACCACCCTACAAATGCAAAATGCAATAAATAGATCAAATGGAACACTGGAACTGAGGAAATAGCTTCAAAGTTTTCTATGAATCTGTGGATAGTTCAGCCAAGCCTGTCTGTCAGAGGACAGATCAGACTAAGGGACCCAATTTCAGACATAACCCACTTTTGACAAAATGTGTGGTTATTGTGCTTTGTCTTTGTTGGGCAGTGCAGCGTCAGTGGATTTCTATTCAGTTTAAATTTTGTGGTTACAAATACATGCACTAGCCAATGATTTGCAGCATTTTAGGTTTATAAATTCATAAAAAAATAAAAAAAATAAAATGCACCAACAAGCTGCAAAATGGCATTTTCTTAGGACATAAAGTATGAGCCAATATATACTAAACTAACCGTTATGAGTATTTTCACGCATCTGCAGTATAGATTCAATGTTCAACTCTAATCACATTTCTAGGGTCCACCTTCCCACTGCCATGAGTGCAAGTTATTGCCAGTGCATTGAGCGTCAGCGTCAGTTCTGGCTTGCCGGGTAGTCAAGATGCTGCTAACGCTAGTGGCGGACTACACGATCTCATCAACGATCGCGCATCTGCTGTTCATCTCCCCTCGCCGCTAATGACTACACTCAAATCAGGGCGCCCTATAAAGCAGATTCAGTTTGCTCCTAACTCCTCGCTCTCTGCAACCCACCTCCTCCCCAGCTCCTCTTTGTTGTGTATAACATGGCATTTGCTTTTCTGTCATCGTTGCTGCTCTGTTCACATGGGGGAATAGTTCTGCTCTCCCAGTACTAAACTGTGAGCGTTCCCTAATGCTGCTGCTGTCCTCTGACTCTCTGCTATCCCATGGTGCTCATGAAAGGTCAGAGGAATCCCTGAACAGAGCCATACCATGAATTGCAATTTATTCAACACAATTTCCTCATCATTTATTGTCACGTGTGTTCTTGACTTAATGGACCTGACAGAATTTATGCCACAGTCCCTAATCATGTTTTTACCCTATACACTATCAGCACAGCTAAATCGACAGGAGGCTGCCCTGCAAATGCAAAAAGAGGACACATCAATACCTGGCCAATTAGTGCATCAATAGGCAGCACTCTCAATCTTAACAGATACAGAGGAATTGGATTTTTGATTGGATTTCTATGCATTCTTGTGTTTAGCTATTTTGTATAACACTTATTTACTTTCCTTTGGATCATGGCTGCTTGCAAGTATCGATTCAGTTTTGACTCGTGCTCCATTTTAGACGTTACATGGATGTTTTGCATATAAACATAGAGTCTCTAATAGCCACAGCATTTAGTGCCACAGCTGAAACCACTGTCCTATAAAGGCACAACATCTCCGAAAATAATGAAACTCTGAAACCATTCGGTGCTTAAAAAGGAGAGAAACCTGAATCGAGGGGAATACAGATCAAAGCATATGCTAAACTACAGGATAGTGATTAATGAGGTGGCCTAGCAGGTTGAAAATCAAACATGAGAATTACAGTGTGTAAATTAGCCTGAAACTTGTGAGCCTTTAAAGGAAAGATATTTTTCCTTTGTCTTAAGTAAATCTGTACTTTGAGTTAAGGGCTGGCCTTTAGGTGCCCTGTGACCTGGGAGTGCATCGTCTTAATATACCAGTGTTTCCGAGGGAAATCTTTCAGCTACTTTCTGTGATGCTGAATGGTTCCTTTGCTGTGTTAGCAGTCTTCTTAGTACCTTTTGTCTCATCAGCACTTTGCATTGAGAAACTGCCTATTTGACGTTATGGGCCAATCAAATGAGTGTAACCTTCATTAGAGTGAAGTCATCCAAAATAATAGCCCCATCACTGGCTGTGAATATGTATTGGCTTAAGGGTGTGTTGAGGAAAGTGCATTAAAAACTGCGTATTAGATGGTTTAATTTATGTTACAAATAGTACAAAGCTTTCTGAGCTGTTGTTTTGAGCCTAACAGTAACCCGTACCTTCTTATTAAAAAGCCCATTAAGATGCGTCTTATTACGTGTTCTAAATCATTAATTTTCAAAAGCAGCTTAGCTTGGACAGGCATTCAAAAGGGTGCTAATTAACATTTTCCTGTGTGATATTAATAGGGATGATTTAACTTCCAGATATAAGCAAAGAAGCATTGTTGTAGCAGTTATGCTAGTAAATCATTGGCTGAAGTTGAAAACATTAACATGGTTTCAGACACCTTTATGAACGACTTTGTACAGTAGGCCTTCGTTTTCTTTCATCACATACAAGTAATTGTCTGCTCAAAAATGAGGATGATAAATAATGTAAGATAATGAGAGAGGATGCTTTTAGTGGTGTCGGGGGAAGAGCCATTTTCCAGAGAGCTTTTACAACTCTTAGCCTTGGATTTAGTGCTCACAATGTGCACACAAAACTGTGTGCTGTGTGAATTCTGTTTCACCCATGGCTAGTCCACAGACAGTAAAGTAAGTTAAAATAAAAGTAAAAAGGATGTTTGTTTTAGCGTATGTACCGTATGACACACTTGTTTATGATTTAACATGTTTTTCTCACTGTTTTGCAGACTGAGGTGTTACCTCTCCGAGGGCCCAATGGATCTCCCTGTGGTGTTGTTTCTGCTGTGGGGACTGTCACTGGACTTGCTGAGTGGTGCGGTGGGTGGCATTCTATACCGCATACATGAGGAACAGCCTCCGAGCACACTGATTGGCAGTCTGGCAGCTGACCAGGGGCTACCAGACACTGGACACCTGTACAAACTGGAGGTGGGCACTCCCTATCTGCGGGTGGATGGAAAAACCGGAGATATCTTTACCACTGAGATCCCCATAGACAGAGAGACACTGAAGGATTGTCGTAATAAAGGCAAGCCCTGCTTTCTGGAGTTTGAGGTGTCCGTCACAGACCTTATTCAAAATCAGAGTCCACGGCTGATAGAGGGAAGGATTGAAGTGCAGGATATCAATGATAACACACCACAATTCCCCTCACCTGTCCTTACCCTATCAGTTCCAGAGAACACCCACATGGGGTCACTCTTTTCAATTCCACTGGCCACTGACAAAGATACAGAGAGGAATGGAGTAGCTGACTACACCTTAACGGCAGGACCAGAGGCAGTAACACTCTTTGGTCTGCAAGTTGCAGAGGACCGAGGTGAAAAATTGCCTCAACTCATTGTGTTGGGAAGTCTTGATAGAGAGCTAAAGGACTCCTATGACCTCACCATCAAAGCTGTGGATGGAGGCAATCCACCTCGCTACAGCAGTGCCTTGCTGAGGGTTGTCATTGCTGATGCCAACGACAATGCACCCACATTTGAAAAATCCTCCTACGAAGCAGAGGTTGCAGAGAACAGCCCGATCGGTCACTCCGTGTTACAGGTAAAATGGCAAACATGCTAAGTCAACCTTTAAATCCAAACAAGGCAAGATAAATTGTCTATTGCATCATGTCTGAGTGTGAAATGTTAATGAGCACTGCTGTCCCAACCTCCCAGCTGTCTGTTCTTCACTTTGATGCTTTACATTAATGGAGCGGGGCCTGACTTACCACATTCACTTTCTAAAATTATTTATTTATTTATTTGACAGGGACAGTGTACATTAATTAACATTGCTGCACATGCACAAGAATTACCCCAAAGGCTATTTTTCATCCTCTGTCCCTTGACAGATCTTAAAATTTTCTACCTAAAAAAAAAAAAAAACACAATAAGATTATTTCAGTGAACAATACAAATATAAAAAGTATATCTCTTAAAATCCTGTTGATAAATACAGTGTACAAGTTTGCTATAATACAGACATTATGTTAAAATAATATATATATATATATATATATATATATATATATACACATTGACACAGCAGAGACTCAAGTGGCAGCAGATTGGGCTGAGGGAAGATTGGTTAGAATAATCCATTTTGATCATCGCATAACACACTCATTTGGTTAAAAATAAACAAGTAGATAAATTACTATAAACTATTATAGATTCATTTGAAAGAGATTATTGTGATGATCTGATGATCTGGGGTGCGTTTCCCGAAAGCACCGTTAGCCAACTATGGTCGCAAGTTTACCAATAGAGTTCAATGGAAATTGCGACCAACTTGCGACCATAGTTGGCTAACGATGCTTTCGTTTGTTTTCAAGGAACCCCACTCTCTATAGATAGCCTATGTCCCAGAAATCTTGTTATGCAATACTCTGACTATGTTCCCAGTTTTGTGATATAAATAGATTCCCTTTGTTCAAATACCCAATATTTAATGCCCAGTGTCTAATGAATGTTCTTTTGCAGTGTTGTCCTATTTTTGTAAATTGTCTTGACTATGTGTAATATCTATTTTGTTGTTATTGTTGTTTCATATTCTCTTTTATTTCACTCCAATGTATTTCATATTTTCTTTTGCAGGTGAGGGCTAATGATTCAGACATGGGTCCTAATGGCGAGATTGAATACACATTACATCAGGCAATTGATCCTGTGCCAAAACTGCTCCGGATAGACCGCTCATCAGGCATCATATATGTCAAAGGCCCGTTGGATCGTGAGGAGATCAACAATTTGAAATTTTACGTTGTTGCACGAGACAAAGGTCCCTCACCCAAAAGTTCTAAAACGTATGTTTCTATTGATGTGATGGACCAGAATGACAATGCACCAGCAGTGGAGATTCGAGGCATTGGTCTTGTGACCCATAGTGATGGAGTGGCAAACATTTCAGAGGATATGCCAGTTGGTACAGCAGTGGCATTGGTACAGGTTTCAGACAAGGATGAGGGAGAGAATGCCGTGGTGACCTGTGTGGTTGCAGGTGATGTTCCTTTCCAGCTTCGGCCAGCCAGTGATTCATCAGTTGACAACAAGAGGAAGTACTTTCTGCAGACCACAACACCCCTGGACTATGAAAGAGTTAAGGACTACCGGGTGGAGATAGTGGCAGTGGATTCAGGCAATCCAGCTCTGTCTAGCACTAACTCGCTGAAAGTCCAAGTCACTGACACAAATGACAATTCCCCAATTTTCTCACCAGCCCTGTTTGAAGTTGAGTTTGCTGAGGAGAACCAACCAGGAGAAAAGGTGGTAGATGTAGTTGCCTCTGATGCAGACAGTGGCACTAATGCAGAGCTTGTGTACAGCATTATTGCGGACTCTTCAACAAGGGGGCTTTTTGAGATTGACCCCAGCTCAGGCGAAGTACGTGCTCGAAGCCCTCTTGATCGCGAGCACAAGGAGCGCTATGAGTTCCGTGTTACTGCAGCTGATAAAGGGGTTCCGAATCACAGGGGTACTGCCACAGTTGTAATCAAAGTACTTGATCGGAATGACAACGATCCTAAGTTCATGCTGAGTGGCTACAGCTTCTCAGTCTTGGAGAACATGCCACCTCTTAGCCCTGTTGGTATGGTAACAGTACAGGACATGGACGAGGGAGAGAATGCTCAAGTGCAACTTTCTGTGGAACCGGATGTGGGCAAATTTGTGATCCAGAATGGTACTGGCACTATTCTGTCCAGTATTTCATTTGACAGAGAGAAAGAAAGCAGTTACACATTCCGGTTGAAAGCTGTAGATGGAGGGGATCCACCCAGGTCATCATACGTTGGAGTGACCATCAATGTTCTCGATGAGAATGATAACGCACCGGTTGTCACTAAGCCATCCAACTCATCCTTTATGCGTCTTTCTCCCATGGCTGCTCCAGACAGTGTTGTAGAAGTGGTGGAAGCAGAGGACATTGATTCTGGTTCCAATGCTGAGCTAGTATACAGCATTGCTGGGGGAAATCCACATGACCTTTTTTACATCTCTCCATCTAATGGTGAGATCACACTAACAAAGGAACTAACTCGGAAACATAGTGGTCTACATCGACTGGTGGTAAAAGTGAGCGACAGAGGCAAACCATCCCGCCATGCTATTGCCTTGGTACACATTTACGTAAATGAAACCATTGCTAATGTAAGTCATGTGGAGGCACTTGTGGGGCATAGCTTGTACACCCCACTGGACATGGACATTGCAGGTGACCCAGATTATGGTTTGGCTGCCCAGAGAAGCAACATTGTATATGGCAGTTTAGCAGGAGTGGCGGGAGTTGTCACTGTGATTGTTGTGGTGGTCTTCATCAGGCATCGGCTCCAAAGAGAAGCAAAGAGTGGTTATCAGGCTGGCAAGAAGGAGACCAAAGATTTGTATGCCCCCAAGCAAGGGCCAAAAAGTGGCAAGGGGAGAAAGGGTAAAAAAGGTAAGCCACCAAAGTCACCTAAACCTCTTGGAGAGGATGAGGAAGTCAGCCTTCAGAAGAGTCTGAAATTTAACCTTGATGGGGTCAATGACAGCCCCAGGATCCATTTGCCTCTGACATATCCACCTGGAAGCCCTGACCTAGGCAGGCACTACCGTTCCAATTCCCCATTGCCATCCATCCAGCTCCAGGCCCAGTCCCCATCTGCCTCCCAAAAGCATCAGGTTGTCCAGGAGCTCCCTGCTGCCAACACCTTTGTGGGGACAGGTGGTGATGACAACTCCACCGGCTCAGACCAGTACTCGGATTACAGCTACAAGACCAATCCACCAAAATACAGCACAAAAACGGTACCAAAATCTTTTTCTGATTTTATGTGTATTATGAGGTACTGGGAAAAAATGGGTTTTGCAATTACTTATAATCGGTCCAACATTGTTTAGAATGGTACTTGTGCTAAAATATATATATATATATTATATATATATACAGTATTCACTAAATATTATTCTCATTTTGATAAATGTGTTCGCTGAATTCCCAGTGTATAATGTGAAAAGATCATCTTGACATACAAGAATCTGTCTGTTTGAAAGATGTCAAAATGAAAAATGACTCTTGTGTTACATTATGCTCCTTGTATATGTACTCTGGACACCAATTCACTATCTGAAGATGCACTTCAATTTACTTTGTGAATAGACTATTAGAAAGGTTCAGTCATGAAATTATTTCATTTTACCTGATGTACAGTGTAGTGTGGTTGAGTGTAAAATGGCCATATTTGCTAGAGCTCATGCTTTCTCTGATTTTTAATGTAATCTACCCAGTGAGAGGTGCCCATCTGACCTGCTGCTATTGAACAAGTCCAAAGCCATTTTTCTTTGGCTCAGATGGAATTTCAATCTGAACCATTCAGCATGTTAATTTCCGTGTAAAGCAATTGATGATGTGGATTTAGGGGAAATGTGAGAAATTTAAAAATGAGTATAATATCCGGTGAGAGTGGTAGTAAAGTTTACTGGGCAGAGGAGACGGAAAGCAAGGGCACATGGGTCCTGACTCCGTCAGTACCAGTCTGATGTTTGATAAAGCCAGCAGATGCTAGATGACAGTCAGGGTGAGTGCAGGCCTTGCAGACTCACTGACTGGGGAGAACAGTTACCCACGGCATCTCCCACACCGTGATGGACAGCATATGGCATGGAAGTGACAATAGACTCCAGCTATGGAGAGTGTGCTGCATTGCTGTGTATTGTTTGTGAGTGAGTGTGTGTGTGTGTGTGTGTGTGTGTGTGTGTGTACTTCTAGGTTTCTGCATGCACTCATGTAATGCTTTTGTGTGAATGTGTTCCTGTGTTTGTTAGGGATGTCACGGTACCGAAATTCCAGTTGTCGGTTCCAATTCCATTTTTACGGTACCAATTTCGGTACCACAGCAAAATCTTTTTGAACTATTTTTCCAATTTATTGAACTATTTGAAAAAAATTATTTATGACGGTAAATTTATTAAAGCATTGAAGGCTACATGCTGTTTAAATGAAAATATTGATGATATTGAGAAATGAAAAAGTGAAAAATAAGCAACCTTCTATATACACACACTATTATTGTTATTATTAGTAGTAGTATTATTAATTAATGGAGACATAGTTAAATATATTGTACAGTAGCCTAAAATAATTATTTCTGTCAATTTCTTTAAGTTAAACCAAACTTTTATTTTGATGGGTTGCCGCAAAGACCTTTGAGTTTTTGTGCAAGTATGATATGACGATAGTTTTTATCAAATGAAATGGTAAATTCTCATGAAGTGACAAGTGGATTTAAAGCCACCACATCAGCAGTGCTGCTGGTCGCCATGTCTCACCGGTACTTGGTACCATGACGTTTACATTTTTTTAATACTGACTTGGAAGTACAGAATATTTTGACAACACTAGTGTGTGTACTGGTTTCAGCAAGTCAGCCTATTTGATCAGAATCCCGCTTGATGACATGCAATACATAAATGAATATTTGTATCTGTGAGAGTTAACTGATAGGCATATAAACAAGGGACAGATGTTGACATCATGTGACATCTCTTGGCAGATGTGAACTTGTGAGGAAACCCCCTACATCCCATGCAAAACCCACATCAGGCTTAACAGATTGACCAAAATAAAAATTAAAATCTCAGCCAAACTGAGTGACAGATGTGCAGAGTGGAGCATGACAGAGTGAATGGCATTACACTCACATGACTCATGCATGTGGCAATGCGCTCAGGTGCGTTTGACAGTCTCGGCTCAAGCTCTCCCACTTTAAGCTCTGATGAGTGTAAACACAGTGGCCTTGTTTGCCGTTTATTGCCAGTGAGGATTGAGCGTGATGACTGGCTTCACTGATTTCCTTCCTGCTCCTTAAAAAACCTCATTAAGAGGAGTTTGTTTGTTCGGAAAGAGTTATCCTGAGGTGTGAAAAATAAAACTCAATGCTCAATTCACAGGGGCATGGCCTGACTCCGTGAGGAGAGATTTGTTTAAATGTGTTGTTGTGTGGTGTGTTTGTGCATGTGTCTTTCACAGTTCATGGATCTTCCCAAAACTCTCTCCTTATAACCTCCAAATGTGTTAGACTGTGTGACAGTTACCGAGGGGACTGTATGGATTTATCCAGTACAGTGCTGATAATTAGCTTGGTCATGGCAAAGATCTAACACCTTTTTTAGTGATGCTCCGGAACAGCCTTGAGTGAGAGACATTAGCGCACAGTCGGGATCAAGGGAGAGACCTTCCCAGTTATTTTTAAATGGGCGTGATGAGAGCTTGTGAAGCTGTAAATCTGTGCTTAAATTAAAATGCCTTATTAGATGGAGATGACAATCCGTTTTCCCCTCTCGTTACCATGGGCTGCCCTTCATCTCCAACTGGAGGGAGGAGGATTGGGAGGTAGGGATTCGGGTTCGATTTTGAGGTGTGCTTTAATTAGGGAAACACATCTCTTAACCTTGCAAAAAGCAGCGTGTTGAAAGAACACTCGTAAAACAGTTTGATTCCCGTTGTGTGTCTCTACTTGCTGTAGAATTGAGCTAGATGGAGTCACAGTGTTGCACTGTTCTTTTTTATTTATACTTTTTAAACGTAAATGAAATTAACATCTATTTTATAAATTAAATTTCCTAAATGACACAAAATTCACTAAAATTTCCTACATTCAAAACTTACTTTCACATTCTGACTTGCAATTAATGCTAATGCACAAATTCACAAAGTTGTTACATGCAGATGTTACAGTAGGTGTAATATTCTATTTAGATATGTCTGATTAATTAAATATGTTTAGGATGCTTTGGAGTTTGAGTCAAATCTCTAACAAACCGCTTCAGCTCACACAGTTAAAGCGGAGCATTTAAAGGCAATACATTATTTAGACCAATAAATTGGTCAATAATAATTGTAAAATCTACACATACAATAAATAGTTTTTTTCAAACACAACTCCAATAACAATGTTTGCCCTTAACAAGTTTAAAACACTGCCTTACTGGTTGGACAAACGGGTTACTTCTCTCCCAAACATATTTGTTCAGCCATTGTATTATATCCAGGCCAGTCGGGTCGCTTTAACCGATTGCAATTATGTGTGATGCAGCGAATGGTGCAGAAATTTCACACTTCACCTTCAATTCACTAATCCATTTTTTTTATTTGATTTCCCAGCAAAAATGAGTATTGTGATACACTCAGACAATACATATAGTATGTTTCAGACAGCAACAATTTCTCATACTGTGATATAAGATTTATACGATTCAGCTCACCCTTACTCTGTCAAGACTGCTTTTACCATCCAGGGGATGGCAAAACTAAGTAAAAGCAGTGAAGTGAAGGCTACCAAAGCATTGTAGCTGAAAAATAGCTCCAAGCCAAGCCTTTTCCTGCTATCTCCACTCCATCTCCCTATCGTCATATCTACCACACATATATTCTCTGGCAAGCGAAGCTTTTCGATAAGAGGATCTACCATACAAATGTTGCCTCTCTACAGAGCATTCTTTCCTTCTCTCTCTTTTTCTTCACTTTAGTACATTATGCACCTTATTTAACGAATCCAGAGTGGCCACAAATCAGCCCTGGTACTACCAAGATATATTCAGTACCTTTAGAGCCTCCTGCTCTTTGTATGGCTCATCTCTTGCTCACACTTACATATTCTCTCTGTGAAGCAGCCCTGCCTTTATGGAGGCTGCCTCAAGGCCCTTCCCAGAACCCCACATTTTGAGCATCTGCTCAACCCAGCTCTGGCTAATATCCATAGCAGAATGCAGCCGTAAACCTCAAACCTGGCACGCACCCTCTCAGATCTCCCTTCAGTGAATACAGCCCATAATACCCTCAGACTGCTCCTCATTAGAGCACAATACTGCCGGCACTCAGCTCCCTCTCGGTGGACCAATCTACTGTCAGGTGCGAAGGCCTCACAGGCTCATGCTCAGCGTGAAGACAACTGCTGCACTTACAGGAATTTAAGATTTCAAGGCACCCTCCCTTCCTCCAGCCTGCAGGAGCAAACAACTAAGCAATTATCAAGGAATACTTTGCAATGATATTCTACCGAGATCACTCATACTGAGGGAAATTAGCACAATAAGGCAATTCCATTTCAGCTACAGCTGGTGCACTTGTGTCAACATGGAAGATGCTATCTAGACAACAGGAAGGGTCAGATATGCATTCTTGTTTGTACAGAGAGGGTCCCTCTGGGACTAACAAGTCTCTGCAGGCACTTATGGACTGACTGGTTTTGCCTGACACTTCAGAATCGATTGACCTAAACAAGTGCTCAGGGATTTAGTGCACTGGGCAGACATTTTCCAAACGAGTAATCTTGTCCGGTAGTGATAAGACTGTATAACTGCAAAGTTCTTTAGTTTATTTTTTTTTTCTTTGCCATTTTGTAGTCAAACCACATTTTGGCCAACAACGAATTTTTAGAACGTTCAAGCCGGTTCTTCTGCCAAACTGATTCACTAGATATCACAACTCTGTAGGATCCCTACTTCAAATAAATGAGACCGACATGACATTTTGAGTTTGGGCTAATCGATTCTCATGATCTTGACAAGCACACTGGGATGGGCCCTGCAGAACTGACACAGTAGAATTAGATCATCTCTCACTGTCTCTCTCTCCCCTCTACCTAAATCTCAAAATGACATAAACTCTTTCAAAAACTTGGGATTTGAGTAGTAGAAAGGCCTGCTTAAATCGTTATGCCTCTGGTGAAGTCCTTATGGTTTATTGGTGATTTTAATCTAACATCCCAATGATTACCTGTTAAACGGGATTACAGCCCCAACCCAGG